AATGTGATCAATTTTAGAGAAAGTTTCTAAAGAATGTGCATTCTACATCTATTAGATGGATTATTCTGTAAACATCTATTAAATCTATGATGTCAAATAATGTTGACCTTTCTTTGTCAGTTTTTAGTTTGGATGACCTATCTATTGACTAGATAAAGGTACTGAAGTCACCCACTATTATTATCTCAGGACCTATCTGTCTTTTTATGTCTGTGTTTATGAAACTAGGACCTTCAATGTTCCGTGGCTATATACTCAAAATTATTCTACATCCAGCAAGGAAGTAGATTTTTTCCTTTTGTTAATATGTTGTGCCTTCTTTGTCTCTTTGAATTCATTTTGGCTTGAAGTTTATTCTGTTATACGATTAGAGGTAGATAGTTCTAAACCTAAAATACAAGGTAGCTCTGGGTTTCCATTTACTTAGCAAATGTACTGCCACTCTTTAACACTTAATTTCTTGGTGCATCTTTGCCAGTGAGGTTTATATATTTGGAGAGAACAGATAGTTGGATCTTGTTTCTTAATCCTGTGTCTTTTTTTTTTTGTTTTTGACAGGGTCTTGCTCTAGATCTTGTTATGTAGTCCACTCTGGTCTCAAATTCATGGCAAGCCCTCTTCTTTAGTCTCCTGGGTGCTGGGATTACAGGCCTGAGCAACCTGGCTGGCTAAGTCTGTGCTGTCTTTTGAACTCCATTTATAGATCAGGCTGGCCTGGAGCTCAAAGAGATCTGCCTATCTCTGCCTCCCAACTGCCGTGATTAAAGGCTCGCGCCGCCGCACCCAGTCATAATGACATCAGTACACACTGGCACAAGTCAGACCTAGTTTCGTGTCCTCCAGTACTGCATTTGCCAGATGTCCAAAATGTTCTAAAGCAAGAAGACGATTCTAACACGTGCACTTGTGAAGCAATAGGCCCTGGAGAACGGCCAAGGGAACAGCACTGCGGCCTCTAGCCTGCCCTGTCAGAGGTCTCCTCCTCTCTTCTCTCCCCTCCCCTCCTCTCCTCTTCTCCTCCCCTCCCTCCTCAGCTCTCCTCTCAACTCTCCTCCCTTCCCTCTCCTTTCCTCCCCTCCTGTTTCATCCCCTCCCTCCCACCCTGCTTCTCTTCTCCCCTCCCCTGCTCCTCCTCTCCCCTCCCCTCCACCACTTCCCTTTCTTCTTGAGATGGAATCTCATAATTCAGCCCAGGCTGGCCTCAGACTGGCAATTCTCCCACCTCCCTCCCCCATCGCTGGGATTACACAGGACTCTGCCTTCACCTCTAGTTTACAATCTCTTTCTCTCTCCTCAGCTGAACCTCTGCTTCCACAGCACAGGGCAGGCCTGCAGGCCTTGCCATAGGGGTTCTCTGGCAGCAGGGGCCATATGAAGAAAACCAGTCACTTAGCAGGCATTCTGAATACACCAATCTTAGCCTTACCTTTACTTCCCCTGGGCAAAAAAAAATTCTCACATGATCATGAAGTCCAGTCTAAAGTCTGGATAGTTCTCTGTGGGCCCAGGTATTAGGCCCTGGCTCAGCTGTCCAAAGAAAGATTTTGAGCCCTGGGCAGTTCTGTGCTTCCCAGTGGGCACATTATTTTATCTCTGTGGGCCATGGTTTCCTTGTGTGTGGAAAGTTCCCTTCCAGCTAGCAACATGAATAACTCCACCCAGACACTGCTTTGGAATCTCAGGGGTCCCCACTCACGGCGGGCCCCAAAGGCAACATATCTAAGATGCCACCATGTGCTCCACAGCAGCCAGCTCTGGTTGCAGGTGCTCAGGGCTAAGTGGCATGAGGTCTGCGACAGGGTTGGTGGCTACCAGAGAAAACCAGCAAGCTCAGTGCCCACCTGCATGTTGTCCTCTCATGAAATGTATTCTTTCCTGTGTTCTATCGAAGGAGACTTCCTTCGGTGTATGCAATCCCTGTACCTTCTGCAGTGCTGGCTCCGTGGTCTTGAATCGCTTTAATGTGTACTTGTCTTTCTTCGTAACTGGGTTGAAACAGATCTCACTGTGTGGCCCTGCATGATTTACTGTGGAGACTAGGCTGGTGAACTGTGATCGCCCCTGACCTGTCGGGATGACAAACGTGTCCTCCTGCACCAAGCATCTTCACTTCTCTTAATGCAACCTTCCCTTCTTTTTTTTTTTTTTTTTTGAGGTATCCTACTGCCTCTAAGCATGTAAGACTACTACCTCTTTCTTTTATCCAGCCTTTTCGTGCCAGGACCTCGAAGGCATGAACTCTCCCATGGGGTTCTGTCCCCAGACCTCTCTTAGTGTTCTCTACAGCTCTTGCCCATTTACCATCCTCGCATACCAATCAGCAGTCCCAAATACTAAGTGAATGCAACAATTTGCTTTAGGTCCTGCTTTCTGAGAGTTGAAGAAAATGACACTGTTTTTGTGTTGACTTCATTGTACTTTTGTTGTTGCTTGAGGAAAGGTCTTCCTGTGGAGCCCTGGCTCCCCTGGAACTCCCTATGCAGAACAGGCTGGCCTTGAACTCACAGAGATCCTCCTGCCTCTGCCTCCCGGCATGGCTCCAGTGTAATTCCTGATTTCCAAACTCTGACACTGAGGACTCATCCATCCACTGTTCGCTCTTACCTCTATCCTCCTAAACGCCTGTCATCCATTGTTTGGCCAGTTGATTTTCTTTCTTTGATATCTCCGGTAATGGCTTCACTTCTTCCTTCACTCAGATAATACAGCCTTTCAAGTTTGAATTCCTGAGCTTTCCCTTTTCCTTTCCCAGTATGCCCCTCTCCCTTTCCTTTACCCAGGGGAATACTCCATTTTTTTGGGGGCTCTTCCCATCTACCTGACATTCTCTAACCTTCCCTTAGCCATCATGTTTACCCAGCAGTCATGGGGATTGCAAAATGAATGGATGGAAAACCAAAAAAAAAAAAAAAAAAAAAAGAAAGAAAAAGAAAAAAGCTGAGTGGTGGTGGCGCACGCCTTTAATCCCAGCACTCGGGAGGCAGAGCCAGGCGGATCTCTGTGAGTTCGAGGCCAGCCTGGGTTACAGAGTGAGATCCAGGTCAGGCACCAAAACTGCACAGAGAAACCCTGTCTCGGAAGAAAGAAAACGAATGGCTGGCTGAAACACACTTGCCCACCTTTACTTCCGTTTCCCTCAACAGCCTGTGCTGGACGCTGTTCTGTCATTAGTGCCGCCCCTGCTCAGCTCCTTCACTGACCGGTACACCCCTTCACCCACCGTACAGCCGAGGCTCTTTCACTGCGTGGAAAACTAGTTCTTCTCCTCCCTCTCTCTTGCCCTTCTTTGACTCTTAACCTGGGGCTGCGCGCATGCCAGGCAAGTATCCGCCACTGAACCTATGTCCCCAGCCCCTCTTTTTATCTTGAAATAGGCAAACTTGCCCGGGCTAGCCTTGAACCTGTGGTAGTCACGCCCTCACTTCTGGAGTGGCTGGGACTACATCCCCCCATTAGGGGGACTCCAGACGTCCTTGAAAGCCTACTGACAACAATCTCTAAGCACATGGAGTATTTCTGTAGTGGTGGTAATTCAAAACTTTTACTAAATGGATTGAAAATGGTTTTGACCGCAAGCTTTGTTGTTGTTGTTGTTGTTGGTTTTGTTTTTCGAGACAGGGTTTCTCTGTGTAGTTTCGAAGCCTGTCCTGGAACTCGGTTTGTAAACCAGGCTGGCCTCGAACTCACAGAGATCTGCCTGCCTCTTCCTCCCAAGTGCTGGGATTAAAGGCATGTGCCATCACCACCTGGCTGACCACCAGCATTTTTCACACCTGATTTCTTTCCCTGAGGACACCCATAGTAGATCTCCTGGGCAGACTGTTCTGGGAGGAAACCCTGTTGGTACCTGCCATACTGTACTTTCTGGTGCTGTGACAAAGAACCTTAACCAAAAACAATTTGGGGAGGAAAGAGTTTAATTGGCTTGTACTTTGAGTTGTGCTTCACTCAGACTGGGGTAAGTGCTCAGTAAATACTTGTTGGGTGTGTAGGAATAAATATTAAGAATTTGCCGGGCGGTGGTGGCGCACGCCTTTAATCCCAGCACTCGGGAGGCAGAGCCAGGTGGATCTCTGTGAGTTCGAGGCCAGCCTGGTCTCCAAAGCGAATACCAGGAAAGGCGCAAAGCTACACAGAGAAACCCTGTCTCGAAAAACCAAAAAAAAAAAAAAAAAAAAAAAAAAAAGAATTTGCTATTGCTAGGGCATTCCTTTCTACCAGTTAAGGGATGCTTCTCATTTTACAGATGAAAAGATTAAATCTTAGAGATACAGAACTTGCTCAAGCTCTCTGTAGACTCATGAAGCAAGATTTAACTACCTGGGCTTCATGTAGCCTGTGTTTTCTTTTTCTTAATTTGTGTGTGTGTGTGTGTGTGTGTGTGTGTGTGTGTGTGTGTGTGTGTGTGTGTGTGTTTGCAGGTGCCCAGGGAAGCCAAAAGAATACATAATGTGCCCTGGAGTTGGAGTTAAAGGCAGTTGTGAGCTGCATGACCTGGGTGCTGGGAACTGACTCAGGTCCTTTGCAAGCACATGAAATACTCACAACTGCTAAGCCATCTCTCCAGCCCTGCAGACTGTGTTCCTAACCCCTCTATTACATTGTTTGGGCTGTAATACACTGTGCTCTACAAGAAACAGGAACCTGGCCATTCCTTAAGAAATACACGGACTGATTCAGGCAGTCAGGCCACACAAATGGGATGTGAGCTGCACACCAATGGAACAATCTAAATGAGCAGAGTTCAGTCCATGTAGAGACCTCCAGACCCTCTCCCTTCTTCCCTGCGGTATGGCTCAGCTGCCAAGAAATAACTCTAACTGAAATTTAAAACCCAAGGTTTAGTTTAAAAGTTTACGGTCAAACATGTACATACACGCACACACACCCATAAACACATACTACATAGGCACACAGTGAGAACACTGTGAGTAGAGAGCTAGAGTAAATATAGATTAAAATCAATTATTTGACTATGGAGCAATAAGAAAGCCATTAGATAAGTTTGTATTCGGTTTTATTAAAGTTACATGTGTAAGTTTAAAATAGAACATTTTCCCCTTCAAAGTATTCCTTTAGAATAGTTTATCATGTTAATGGACATTAGTAAAAAATAAGTTCTGTTTATTAACAAGTAGGTAAACTCAGGTGTAGTGGTACATACCTGTAATCCCAGATTTGGGGAGGCTGAGGCAGGAGGATCACCTTGAGTTTAAGTTTGATGCTGTCCTGGGCTACACAGTGAGTTTCCAGTCAGACTGGGCTAGAGAGTGAGGCCCTGTCCCAAACAAACCAACATCGAATGGGTGGTTCAACTGTATTTGTCTTTAATTACCCCCCCCCCCCGCCCCCGTTCTTCCCCAATTGAGAAAAACACTTCAGAGCCTTTGTCTTCGGGAATTTTTAGAAGCATGCAATGGAAAGGGAAAACAGGCATTCTAAATTTCACGTGCATTGAAGAATTAGACGGCAAGCCCCAACTTCCCTATTGACTGCAGCCAGCTATTCTTAGCAGCTTCTGAAACAACAGTGTTAAGAAACTGGTCCTGGGTCCCAAAGGACCGCCTAGGACATTTGACACAACAGGAATCTTGAAGAACTTACCACACATCCCCCCGCCCCCAAAAAAAAAAAAGTTTGCACATGGTTAACACACACACAGCATAGTCCAGCCACAACTTAAGGTTCCGAACTCCTTATCTGGAATGAGAACTGGGCAGGCAGCCCATGTCAACTGGCAGGTCAAGTGGTAGGTGTTACTCAGAGCGGCTGTTGAGTACCCGGTACACACACACACACACACACACACACACACACACACACACACACCAGCTACATAATCCTGTACCTAAACTGCATCTGACTGCAGGATAGCCTGGAGTTCCTTTATGCACATTCAGTTTCTTCGCTGGAGTCAGGGTGTAAATAAGCTCCCTGCTGCACAGCTGTTACTCCTGTACACGTTGTCTAAACCCATGCTGTCCACGGCACAGCCGGCAGCCAACTCGACAACTGACAAGCAATGACTAAAGATCTGAAGACGGTATAAAACACACACCAGGATCAAAACTTTGATGCAGAAGACAACACAAAACATCTCAACATTCGATAGGTTGGGCCACATATTAAAATATTAATCTTACCTGTTACTTTTCACTTTTTAAGAGTCTGACTCTAGGAAATATAATCTTCTCAGTTTCCATGTTTGGCCTCCATTATTACTTAACCTCCTTTACTGTAAAGGTTAGGCATGATTTTATTTATTGTGAATTTTAGGTAAGGCGTGGCGATTCTATTTGGTCTTTTATCTGTAGTTTGAAACAAAGACAGATCACACACGTATCTATTTTCCTCGTTTCAGGTTTCACGTGTGTGAGTGTTTTGCCTGCATGTGTGTGTTTTGTTGTGTTTGTGCACCATATGCATGCCTGGTACCCAAGGAGGCCAGAGAAGGTATCAGATCCCACGGAGCTGGAGTTACTGATGGTTGTGAGCCACCATTTGGGTGCTGGGAACTGAATCTGGGTCCTTTGTAAGAGCAGCAAGTGCTCTTAACTGCTGAGCCATCTTTCAAGCCCTGTCATACACATTTCTTTAAACATTTTAAAAATTGTGTGTAGATGTCTAAATGAGGTTGCTAGGGAATTCCAGAAGAGAGTATCAGACCCCTGAAGCTGGAGCTATAGGTAGTTGTGAACTATGATGTGGGTGCTGGGAATTGAATTTGGGCCTGCTGGAAATAGCACCAAACACTCTTAAGTGATGAGCCATCTCTCTAGTAGTCTCTTAAATAATGTTTTAAAATTCCGTCACACCGTTTTTAACTAGTTGAATGTAAGATATGATGAAAATGTCTCAATGTCCCTAAGTTGGTGACTGGGATTCCTTGTCACTTTCTCTCCTTACAACCACCCTTGTTCAAATAGGCAGAGCTTGCTCAGCCTGTCTGTAGTTACTATTATATATCGGCTGTCTCCCTGATTCAGATGAGAACTACTGCCCATGTGGGGAACCATGACAAAAGAGGTAAAGTTGCCATTTGGCTTGGTTACAGCTATTGGGGCAGAAATAGGAAAGTTTCTGTAATTCTTTTAGAAATCTGGATTAAGAAATTAGTTGTAAGGGATGTTCAACATATTTAGACAATGAGGGAAATGCAGATTAAAACCACACTGAAATTCTGCCTCACCTTAGTCAGAATGGTTAACAAGAAAACAAAGAGCAAATGCTGTAGGGTGCATATGCCCCCTTCTGCAGTTGGCAGAATGTGTGGAAATCATTATGGTTACCTAAGAACCTAAAATGAGCATGACCCCACGATCCAGCTCTACCACCCCTGAACAGATGCATCAGCATACAATACATACACGTGAACGCTCTTGTTTATCCTAGCACTAATCACACTACATAAATTAGTTAATTAGCTCAGGTACCCACCGATGGATGAAGGAAGACAGACAATGTGGTATAGACGAAACACGGTATTATTCAGCCAGGAAGAAAAACGGATTTGTGCTACTCGCAGGAAAATGGATAGAGCTGGAGAGCATCGTGTTAAGTGAAATGTCAGGCTGCAAAGACAAATGCAGGTATTGTCTCACATTCAAAATCCAGATTGAAAAGGACATGAACATCAGAAGAGAAAGACAGGACATGGGGGTAACATATGATCAATATATATGAAAATAACATAACCATTTTATACACTGTATGCAATAAAAAAAATTTTAAGTGAAAAGTCATTTAACTTCTGTAATTCTTCTTGGCTTCCTTGCTTTGGAGAAAGCCAATTTCCTTCAGAGGCTTGGTCTACATTTTAAACCCCAAGTGAAACACTTCAGACTCAGAGGCTTTATTAGGTCAGGGCCATAAAGAAAGAACAGAGCAATGGTGAAAAAGTATTTTGACATTAATATAACTGTTTGTGGGACAGGGCGTGTTATAGTCTGCCTTTGAACTATGTAGCCAAAGATAGCCTTGAACTTCGGATTCTCCTATCTCCAAATGATGAGTTCTATGCCACCATACCCAGTTCATGTAGTGCTGGGCTCAAACCCAGGCAAGGCTGTATGCATTCAAGGGCCAGCATTCCACCAAAGTTCCCCATCCCTAACAGAGATCAGTTAGATCACTTACATATGAATACCTAAATGAAAATATAAAAAGGACTCATAATTCTACTCATTTTACTTTATTAATAGATGTAGACTATTATCTTTGATTTGAAATTTTTGTTGCTGTTTTTTTTTTTTTTTTTGTGAGGGAGATGGAGTGGTAGACAGGGTCCTGCTTCAAACTGGAAGCAATTCTCCTGCCTGTGTCTCCTGGCTAGGATCTGATTTGCTGATCAGTTCACCTCCACTTAACACATGTACACATAATTTTAAAAATGTTAATTATACTTGGCTCGAATATTTTAAATAAAATATGCAAGAAAAATAATCAAGAACCAAGAGTTTATATTTTTAAAGTCTTATTTTTTAATTGTATGGTGGTTATGTGCACATGAGTGCAGGTGTCCTCAGAGACCAAAGATGTTGGGTCCCCCTGGAGTTGTCCAACCTGGGTACCAAAAACCAAATTCAGGTCCTCTTGAACAGTAGCCAGTGCTCTTGACTGATAAGCCATCTCTCTAGTCCTTTAATTATGCTTTTTAAAAATGATTTATTTGCTGGGCGGTGGTGGCGCACGCCTTTAATCCCAGCACTCGGGAGGCAGAGCCAGGCGGATCTCTGTGAGTTCGAGGCCAGCCTGGTCTCCAAAGCGAGTTCCAGGAAAGGTGCAAAGCTACACAGAGAAACCCTGTCTCGAAAAACCAAAAAAAAAAAAAAAAAAAAAAAAAGATTTATTTATCATGTATACAGTGTTCTGTCTGCATGTATGCCTGCAGGCCAGAAGACAGCACCAGATCCCCTTACAGATGGTTGTGAGCCACCACGTGGTTGCTGGGAATTGAACTCAGGTCCTCTGGCAGAACAGCCAGTGCTCTTAACCTCTGAGACATCTCTCCAGCCCTTATACTTTTTCTTAAAACTTTTCCTTGAACTTGTTTTAAATATGAGATGTATACAGGTGTGATGCCATACACCAAGTAATCCCACAATGCAGGCGACTGAGGCAGGAGGACCACGTTTGAGGTCATGTTCTCTCTCTCTCTCTCTCTCTCTCTCTCTCACACACACACACACACACACACACACACACACACACACACACACACACTCTCTTCTAAATCTTAAAACATATAAGTGGCATGTGCAAAGTCAACATAGCCGCTAAGCAACAGAAGCAAGACTGGGTTCACGACCCAAGTCCAATCGTTTACTGTCCTGTTGTTTTGGTCCTTTTTCAAGTTTATGATTTAAACAAAGGAAACATGATTATAAACCAATACAACTTTTTTTTTATTCATTTGGAAAGAAAGCATTTTATTTTTAATTTTATGTGTATGGGTGCTTTGCCTGCATGGATGTCTGCACACCACCTCATGCCTGCAGAGGCCAGAAGAGGGCGTGGGATCCCCTGGAACCTGGGCTACAGATGGTTGTGAGCAGTTGTGCGGGTGCCGGAATTGGAACCCAGGTCCACTGGGAAAGCAGCAGCCAGCACTCCTAGCCGCCAAGCCATCTCTCCAGCCCCTCGGGGGGAATTTTAGAAATATCCGGAGGAGATAAGAAGATCAGTAAGTGAAGTTAAAATGCTGGGAGGGAGCAGAGGCTCACACAGTTTATCTGAGGTTTCCAACACACTAACAGTAAATGTGGGCGAGAGGAATTAAGTTCTGGTTATTTTCTAAAGCTTCATCAAAACTGAAAATTACTTGGAGCTATTGAGTATTCTAATTATGTAAACTTGGATCTGAATAACTGTTACTTAGCTATATGTAAACCACATGTTTGGAATTACAACTATGGATATACTACTAGGCCATCCTTCAAGTGAAACTATATTCTCAATTTTGCTTAACATGTATTTATTTATTTAAAAAGATTTATTTATTTATTATGTATACAGAAGAGGGTGCCAGATCTCATTACAGATGGTTGTGAGCCACCATGTGGGTGCTGGGAATTGAACTCAGGACCTCTGGAAGAGCAGTCAGTGTTCTTAACCTCTGAGCCATCTCTCTCCAGCCCTACATGTATTTATTTTTAAATTACATTTGTTTTGTGCGTGGGAGGGCATGCATGCCAGTGTACATGTGGTCACAAAATGACTTTTGGGAGTCTATTCCATCAAGTGGGACCCAGGGATCAAACTAGGGTCAAGATGGGTGGCAGGTGCCCTAACCTATTGAGGTATCTCACTGGCACCTAGGTTCAATATTCATGGTAGAGGACATCTGGTATGTGTTACTACAAATTACTAATTTCTCAAAACTGTTTTTTTTTTTAATTTTCTTTTTCTTTTTTGTTTTCCGAGATAGGGTTTCTCTGTGAATCAGTCCTGGCTGTCCTGGAACTCACAGAAATCCACCCACCTCTGCCTCCGGAGAGCTGGGATTAAAGGCCTGCGCCACCACTCCCTGGATCAAAGCTATTTTCAATGTAAGCAGCGCAGCGATGTAAGGTTGCATTCCTTCTCTGTAGTTTTCTTAAAACGCAAACATTATTTTATAACTTCTGGGATCGTTTTTCCTGTTCAGTCCATTGAGTCTTTATTAGCACACACTGTGACAGGTACTCTCCTGGCTTCTAGCAGTCTCATGTGAACAGACCCACAGTGGTGCTGACATTCAACCAAAACTCATACTCAGGACATGTGGGGCACTTCACATATCCAGTAAGACACAGGGAGACGTGGTCAAGGAGTTCCAGAAAGGCTTCCTTTGTGTGCATGCTTTTGATAGGAATAGTAGCGGGTTGGAAGTGAGAGAGACTCTGGAGATAGGACTATCCTCAAACTCATGATCCTGCCTCAGCCTCTCAAGTGCTGGGATTAGATATGTGCCACCATGCTCAACTCAAATAAATGGATGTTTTTAGTAAAAATACTTGAGTTTTTTCTTGTTTATTTTGAGATAAGGTCTCTCTCTGTGTAGCCAGGTTGGCCTCAAACTCCCAAGCCTGGTTCAGTCTCCCAAGTAGTAGCATTAAAGGTATATGCCACCACACCCAGCTTAAGAAGACTTAGTAAAAACTAAAAATTTGGAGAGTCAAAGGCACCATATGTAATCAGAATGTAACTCAGACAAGTGAAGGATCAAGAGAACCCGGATAAGATGGAATAAGTAACCCAAGGTCATTTAGCATATGGATGGCAGGGTGGTGGTGTTAAACGTCTGCTGGCCGGCCTAGAGCCCTACTGCTAACTACTCCAGCATGCTTAGAATACCACTGAACAAGCACCAGACAGTGGAGTCAAAGGGGACTTCAGTGTTCAGCGGAAGATGCTGCAAACAAGCTCACCATTTCAGGACCATGTGACCAGCTGACCATTGCTCGCTATCTGAGCAGTATGTTGAATAGGCAATCTTAGAGAAGCCCAGTGTGTCACTGCCTCCCTCCATGCACCTTCCTTTCCCTCATGCTGTGCCCTGAAGATCCTGGCTTTGTAGATGCCAAAGACAAGGAATGCAGTTTGATTGACCAAGTTTACACACCTCTTCAACTGTATATTGCTGTTACCCGACTGGGGGAAAATTAATGATGCCAGTCATAACTTATAATTTCATCATCATTAGGCAATGCACATCGGTCATCTAAACAGGGCACACAAAGACTGTGAGAAGCTGCCAAAGACACAGTGCATTTCACTTTCCTTCAAATTTGTTTTTGCTGTCCTTGGCTACTCATCAAACCATGGTGTTTTAATATGGCACCAATTCCTTGTCAATCTTGACTACAGATGACCTACTTTCAGTTTAAAACAGAAACAGAGGCAACAATAAAACATTTGAAGATAACAAGATGAGCTAAAAGAAAAAAAAAAAGAAAGGAAAAGATACCCATGACACATATGACTGAAACACAAACACCATCCTTTGTTTTGACTCTCTAGCCCAGACTGGCCTCGAACTTGCAATGATCTATTTACTCCAGCTTTCTCAAGTGCTGGGATTACAGCCATGATTGTATGCCCAACCTCTCCTAAATTTATAATATTCTCTTCTTTACCTAAAATGATCAAGATCATTGTTCCCTGATTTAGGGTTGTTTTATAAGAAAATATATAAACTTCATTTAGCTATTCAATGTAAGAACTTGGCATTTTCTATCAATTAAAACATTTAAGGAATGACAGTATTAACTATATACATTTAGAAGTATTTCTTCCTAAAAAGATCCCTAACATGTTAAATACTCAAATAATTTATTACTAATATTTCACAAGTAATATCATTTTATTACTATAATCACAAAATCATAATTTCTGTACAGGAATGTATAAGTGAACATTAATCAATGCATTTGCTAATTTGCTTCATGAGGGTAAACATACTACAGAACATAAAAGAAAAAAGATTGTAAAATTTTCTGGCCTTGCGGTGCACTTTTTAGTGCAATTATTTAAGACACAATAGTGTTCAATTCAGCAAAATATTGCAGAATGTCATGCCACAGTCCACTTAATTCAAAGAGGGTCAGGACATGCAGCTTGTAATAAAATGTCAGCGCATAGGTTTTTATATATAAAAAAACCACATGTAATTCATAAAATATATAGTGGTTTATTTAGATGGTTTCTAGATGATCTCACTGAGGAATCCAATGTCTCCTTAACAGGAATAACGTTATCGCTAGGCAATGGCTTTGGCTTCAGGTAGGAATGCCTCCCAGTACTTTATCAGCTGTGGGCGATAATAAAAAGATATTTTCGTTACATTTTTGTCATTTTAATGCAGATATCCTTTTTTAAAAAGTATATACATAAACAGCTAACTCTAATTTAGTCTTTTAAAATTTATACATATAACTGTATGTACTTATGGGGATCACCTGTTCTTACTTGTTTGAGAAAGGGTCTTACAGTTAGCTCAGGCTGGCCTTAAGTTTCAGGTATTCATGCCTCAGCCACTCCAGTGCTGGGATTGTGGGTGCAGTACCACACCTGCCTGTATGTGGGTTTTGCTTTGTTTTCTGATGGCTTTTTCAAACAGGCTCTCCCTACTGTGTAGAACTGTCTGGCCTTGATTTTGTGGCAGTCTGTCTGCCCGTGCCTCACTGTGCTAAGATTATAGGTGTTCATCACCAATCCTGGCTGCATATGGTTCTTAAATGGATCATTTCCTCACCAGATGTCTTATCAACAGATTAATATGTAATCTATTTAAACATTACTCCTAGCTAATTACAGATTCCACTATAAACAACGTAATATCTACTTTTATACTTCTTAGATATATGCAAAATTATAATAGAAACATACTATTATTAAATAGTTAAAACCTGACCATTTCCAACATAAAGCAATAACATATCCTAATTTCTTGTATATTCACATTTTGTATTATTGCTAGTTAAGGAGACTAGAATAAAGCAGGAAAAAAAGTCAATACTGAGTAAGGAAGGAAAACGGGGACTGGAAAAACCAGCTGCCAGTCCCTGGGTCACTCAGAACAGACTGACTATATACTAAAAAGCTCAATTAAAACAACTTCTTTGGGAACAAATTTATCTGACTTAAGTTTTTTTGTTTTGGGCTTTGTTTTTATTTTTGCTTTTTGAAGACAGGGTTTCTCTGTGTAGGCCTGGCTGTCCTGTTCGTAGACCAGGCTGGCCTTGAACTCAGAGATCTACCTGCCTCTGCCCCTAGAGTGCTGGGATTAAAGGTGTGCACGACCACCCATGGCAGTTCCATTTTTAAAAATCTAACTTGTTTAGCCCATTTGAAAATTATATTATGTAGTCCTGGTTAGCCTGAAACTGACTACATAGACCAGGCTCACCTCCAGGGTACACACCTCTTCTAAGTGTTGGGATCCAGGCTTGCACCACTGTGCCTGGCTTGAATTTATAGATATAACATAGTATATAGACAAGTTTCTACTTCTGAACATTTTAAAACTAACTAGAAGAATTATTCCTATTAAAGACACTAAGTTATTTGATTTGTATATGCAAGACTATTTTTTAAAGATTTTATCTAATGTATCATGAAAGCTCATAGTCCTAGGTTGCACCAGTTAATAGACAGCAATCAGTCTGGTAAGGAAAGGAAACCAGGGCTGTAAAGCCAGGGACCATGGTGTACTCCTACAACCTGAGCACTAGGCAGGCTGAGGCACAAGGAAGCAATTTCCAGGGCACCCTGAGGTATATACAGAGGCTGTCTCCAAAACAGAATGACCCTCCAAGATAAGGGGAAAGCTGCTATTTGCTTTTGTGTGTAGGTGTTCTGTCGGAATGCATATACACCTGGTAGAAGTTCTGGGAGGCCAGAGAGGGTGGTGGATCCACTGGAACTGGATGGGACTGCTATGTGGGTGCTGGGAATTGAACCTGGCTTCTCTGTAAGAGCAGGTAGTGTTCTTAACCACTGAGCTATCTCTCCAGCCCCTCTGTGACTTTTTAGGGCCTAATTTTGGGATTGTTTATCTCCGTGTATTATTCAGTAGAGGCAAACAGACCTAAGATAGTTTCCAATCACTTCAGTATTTTCCCCTTCGTTGTCCTAGCTTTCTTTAGTCTACCTTTCATTTTTCCTCCAGCTTAAAAGCCTTTAAAATAACTCAGAAAAACCCTAGAAGCTGTAAGGAAAATGAGCTTACCTGTTGCTGTGTTTGTACTAATGACTCCAAGTACTTGATGATAACAGATTTAAAATCTTTCACTCTTTCTTTCTGTTAAAGTACATTAAAAAAGGTCATTAGTGGGAAATTAAATTGAATTTTACCACAGAGCTGTAGCAAAATTTTAAACAGTACAGAATTTTGATACATGCCTCAAACCTTCCCACTTCTTTTCGAATTGTTTTAGAGATCCGCTCAAAGTCTCTCTCTCCTTGTTGTACTTTCGCCTCCCACTAAAGAAAACAAAAGAAGAGGAAAAATTGCTTACTTTTACCTGGAAAACAACTGTACTGTCATGACTACTCATTTACCTTAACCCAACCTAACCTAACTCAGTGGTGTGTCTAGAAGCCGAGGTCACAACTCAGCGGGAAGCAGTTGCTGTGCGAGCATGACCATCAGCACTAGATCTCTCGCCCCCAGCAGAGGCCGGGTGGGCATGGCAGCTTGTCTGTAACTACAGCACCCCGCAGGCAGAGAGAGACACAAGACCCCTGGGGAAAGCTGGCTAGCTAGGCAAGTCAAATCAGCACGTTCTGGGTCCAAGTGAAATACCATGACTCAATACAAAGGTGGAGTGTGATAGAGTAAGACAACCAAACATGATACTCTGGCCTCCACATGCATGCACACACATGTATGTCCATGCATATAACACATATGCCCACACACATTACAGATGCATACATGCACACCCCATACACACACACACACACACACACACACACACACGGGTGCCTTTCACTTCCTAATGGTACAAATACATATCAACTTAAATTCCATTAATAGTCCATTACTACATTTATTTAAGATTAGAATACTTCAATATTTAATGAACTATAATGTCCTGCCAGGTGTGGTAGCTCCCGCCTGTAATTCTAACACTGACAAAGAGGACTGTGAATTCCAGGCTGGCCTAAAATTAGATCCCATCTCACATGGCTAGATCCCATCTCAAAACCAACAAACGAGAGAGCCACCTTCCCAATGGCCATTAGACACACTGGAGGGATTTTGCGTATAAAGTTCACTATCAAATAAATTAAAAGTCCTGCAGTTCAATTTTTACAAATTTTGAAATATACCAACAATATTAATGCCAATAATACATGTTTATCATAATTCATATGGTCATGGAAATACTTCAACATATGATAAACACTTGAAAAAACATTTTAAAATGGCAAAATGACTAAAATTTTTTAAAAGAGGAACTATTTATTGTCTAATGAAGACTCATCAATAATCATTAAATTCAATATGATAACAACAAAATGTGACTAGTGACCAATGAAACAGCTAAAATAAAGATTTAAGCAATGAAATGGTATTTTCCCACTATGTAACCAAAACACTGGTCCATACTCTGCAAAGAGCAGGTGTACTTATTTGTAGTAATATAAAGGTTGTCCTACCTCTTCAATTTCCTTATTGAAGCATGGCAAAAAAAGTGTATAAATTATAATAAACTTATACAAATTTATTAAAATACCATATATAATACATATATATGGGGGATAATATTGCCCAGAGAACTAAATGTGGGTAGGTCTACCTTTAAAACCATTTTTAGACACAAAATGAGTAACCATCTGAAGTCAAAACAATTTGAAAAGAAATGTCAAAATGCAAAGGTTAACTTGAGATCGCTTCCTTGCATGCTTCTTTACGAATTTCATAATCATGTGAGGTAAGAAAGGTCCCTGGAGACTTCAATGATGATAAAAATGTTAAATACTTCTAACTCACTCATATAATTCATACATAAAAAATATGGAGAAGTAGCTAAGTGCTGAATGATTCAGAAAAAAATATGAAAAATTATGCATATATGAATGACATGAAAAATCTGAGTAAAGAAAGTGTTATTAATTACCTCTCTTATTTCATTTTTAGCTTGTTGAATTTTATCGGGTTTATTAGCAACCATCATTTTTGCCTCAGTTTCACGTTTTTTGAGCAAAGTAATTTGAGCATCTTCCCATTTCTGCCAGCATTTCATCCGATGGTCAAATACACCCTGTAAGTGGATGACATGAGGATATTAAGCAACAGTGTAAAAATACTTTCACTACAATCTAAGTATAATAATACTGAAATCTATAAAGTCAACTATTTAAAATGTGATCCTAATATATAGAGACAATGAAAATATGCATGCCAATAGCATTTTCACTAGCTTTTAGGATGTTAGGCTTACAATAAAATGTAAAAGAGTTGTATAGTCTAAATAAAGATGTATCTAATGAAAAAATACTGATATACATTAGAAGTTCTTCTACTGAACAATATACAAAATAGATTTAAATGTTGGAAAGACAGAAATTAAAAACATAAAATGGGCCAGGCCAGGTCTACCCCTGTAATCCCAGTACCATGAGACAGAGGCAGAAGGACTGTTGCTAAGTTTGAGACCAGCTTTGTTTATATGGTGAGTTCTAAGCAAGCCAGGACTATACAGTGAGACATAGTCTTAAACACACACACACAACGGGGTTGAGGGGGAGCAGAGAAGAAGAAAAAGAGGGGAACCCCAAGTAACAGGAAGTAAAGTACAAATATTATAGACGACTCTCATAAAAAAAAGCAAACAATAAGTGAAAAAGTAAAGGCCTAACAAAACGGGGAAGAGGTGAGTCCTGTGCATGGTGAAAAGGGCCAAAGAACCAACCAGCAGCAGAACTAAACGAAGAAACTGACACAGAGACTCTCCCAGAACAAGTCAGTCAAACCCACGCTTCTTTTCAAGGGGTCTGTCAGAGTGCGAGCCAGTGAATGAAGAAACGTGAGACACAGACACAGGAGAGCAACAAGGATGTGAACAAAAAGAAACGGGACAGTACGGCACAGGACGGGATGGGAAAACCCACTATGAGTTTTGTCTAGCTTGATGTTGAAGGTATGTTAACATTACGTTAAATATTTACTAACTCAGCAAACAAGCCAATCATTAACAAACTAGGTGCATTAAAAGGCACTACACCAGAGATATTTCAATTTTAAAACACATTTTAGTCAAGAAGCAGTAAACAGCTGAGCAGTGGTGGCACACACCTTTAGTCCTAGCACTTGGGAGGCAGAGGAAGGCAGATCTCTGTGAGTTCAAGATCAGCCTGGTCTACAAATAGAGTTTCAGGACAGCCAGGACTGTTACACAGAGAAATCCTGCCTCGAAAAACAAAAAAACAAACAAACAAAAAAGAAGCAGCAGCAGCAAATAGCTGGGTGTTATGGTTCATGCCTGTAATCCCAGTAACTGGGAGGCAGAGGTAAGAGAGGCATGAATTCAAGGCTACCTTGGCCTTGATCCTGCCTCAGGAAAACAAAACAAAAGTAGAACATCAGGAACTGGGCCCAAAAGAAGCACAAATCTGCCGGGTGGTGGCGGCGTGGTGGTGGTGGTGGTGCACACTTTTAATCCCAGCACTCGGGAGGCAGAGGCAGGCGGATCTCTATGAGTTCGAGGCCAGGCTGGTCAAAACACCTTTGATACATAAGTGGAAAAGAATTTTGTATGAAAAAAAAGAATTGGTTTCATATAAATTTAGGTGCCTCTGGATTAAACAAAGTTAAATAACTCTTCCCAAGCTTAGCTGACTGTGGCACATCTTCTGATGCCAGTATTCTCTAGAAACTTTTGGAAAACATGGACATAACTAATTTCAAAGACTGTAGGAACCTAACAGAAGATTTGAGGCATGGGAAGAAAGCTTTCTCTTAAGGGTCAGCACAGGACTGTCCCATCAGTCACTGACTAGTCAGCAGGCCTAGCCTGCCATGGGACCTTTCCCTGGGAAGCTCTTCTCAGCATGGCCTCAAAGACACCGTCAATTTCCCCTCTGACCCAGGGGCTTCTTTTCTTAAGCATTTTTGTTTTGTTTTTTAAAGACTGATTATTTCTTCTGTATATGTGGAACATGTATAGGAACTTTTGTGGAGGCTGGAAAAGGGCATCTGATCCCCTGAGGCTGGGTGTGAGCCCGGCAGCTATGAGCCATGCAGTGTAGGTGCTAGGCACTGAATTCAGTTCCTCCACAAGTGCTGTTCATTGTGAACCATCTCTCCAGCCCCTATTTTTCTGTTTGTTAGTTTGTTTGAAAAACAAACAGCTCTCACATCTCTCTAGAGACAATCAACAGATGATCAGACAGAAATAGGAATCACCATCTGGTGGTACATGCTTGTAATCTGGACAAATGGAAGGTTGAGTCAGAAGGATCAGGGATTCAAGGCCAGCCTTGGCAACACAATACTCTCAAAAAAACAAGAAAAAAAGATAACAGGTCTTGAAAACCAGGCCAAGATGGTTTAAAAATAAAAGATGCCGGGCTGGAGAGATGGCTCAGCGGTTGAGAGCACTTGCGGCTCTTCCAGAGGACCCAGGTTCAATTCCCAGCACCTGCATGGCAGCTCACAACTGTTTGTAACTCCAGTTCCAGGAGATCTGACACCTTCACATCAATGCACATAAAATAAAGTTAAATAAAAATAAATTTTAAAAAAGATAAAATAAAAATAAAAGCTGCCTAATACAATAAAGAATGCACTAAAACTGTAACAGCTCTAAACATAAGAAAAACTCACCAGAAGCATAAGGAGTTATGTAAAAGAGTATATAAAGTTGGTAATTTTTGTCAACCCTAAGAAAGCACCATTTGGAAGTGCTAATTCTCTAGAGATAGATAGCTCACAAAATATCAATAAACAGGCAGTGTGCCGGTGTTTTCTCTATAAATGAATACTAGTTTGCACAAGAAAGGAAAGAAGATGGTCTTATTCGCTCTCTAAAATGTTTGAATTCAAGGTAAAGCAGAGGGTAAATAGCTGGATCTCCCTCATTATGACTTTTAACCATAACACTAACTCAAAGACACTGTAACATCACAAAAACCTTCTGAAAACTGTTGACAAACTGATAGCTCAGTATGAGAGTATGAATACTGAAGGTGTTTGTAGAACACCAATTTTTAACTAGATTCCTTCTGCAACTGCTCAGAAAGAGGTTTCTTTAAAATGTAGTATCATTACATAATATAATCTATGGTCTAATTTAGTCGCATTTCATCTATAAACACGTGTACATATTTGAGTACAGAGACAGAAAATCCTTTTATTGCCCAAATTCATGCTAAAGACCTTCTGAACCATTAAGACAATAATCACTCCTACTTTATCCTATTTCTTTTTTTTAATCCCTCAAGACAGTTCTGGCTTTGTAGACCAAACTGGCCTTGAACTCACAGAGTTCTCCCTGCCTCTGATTAAAGGTCTCACCACTGCCTAGCTTTTATCCTATTTCTAATGAGAACAAACCTGGTAGGCAGCTTCAGTTACCGCTAGAATAAGCAAATAAATGCAAATAGTTACAAATTTGAATATGAATATGTAAATAAGTGTATACTGTTTTCACTTCTTATTTGGCATTCCTTAGACTTCTTACATTTTTTGGTTGAGGCTACACTTTAATGGCTGAATCATCTCTCCAGCCCTCTTTTTCTTTTTCCAGTGTTCATTGGTGTTTTGCCTGCACATATGTCTGTGTAAGGGTGTCAGAAATCTTGGAACTGGAGTTACAGTCAGTCAGGTGGGAGCTGGGAATTGAATACAGGTCCTCTGGAAGAACAGCCAAGTGCTCAAAACTGCTAAGCCCTCTCTCCAGCCATCCTTAGACTTAAAAACTGTTTTACTGTACTATGCATGTCATAAGAAGAAATTGGTAAGTTACAAGTACTCATTTTGAAGTTATTTTTATGTAGCAGTGCAGTATAGGATTTGCACTTAAATGTATATCTAGTAGAAAACCAAATGAGCTTGTGTGTGTGTTTGCTACACACACACACACACTCTCACACACACACACGCACGCACTTGCTGTATAATCCAGATTGGCCTAGAATTTACTATGTAGACCAGGCTGGCTCTGACACGTGATCCTCCTGCATCTGCTACCCAGGTGGTAGTATTATAGACAAGTCGTACTGTGTCTAGTCTAAATCACTTTTAAAGCAAATGGCTTCAGGAAAAGAATGTAAGAAAGCTTGTAGAAGAGGGCTTACTTTCACTGCAGCAATGAGCCGAATGTAGTCACTAAGAAGTTCTGAGAACATGTAAAAGTCGGCAAAAGCTTGTTCTTGATGTAACTGGTCTATCTTCTCCTCAACCTCTGCAAGCTGAGACAAGGCTCTAGATAGGGCAGTGTGGTCCTCAGAATTACCTAGCATGGCAGCACTCTTAGCAAAGGCAGCCGTGTTGGCTGAAAGTTCTGAAATAAAAAAGCATTTAGTATTTATTAGTGAAACTTTAATAGTCTCTCTAAATTCTATTTTTCGTGAATTTAGTCAATTTTAAGTTACTATGAAACAGCCAATAAAGTGCTCGGGCCTGGGTCCTAGTAGAAGCACCAGTGCCGTCTGGAGAGCAGCTGCAGAACACTCTCCAGCAGGCACAAGGAAGGGCCGCTGCTCACACCCAGTTCCGCACAGCCCCCCAACCCTCCAAAAGAGCCACAGCTAGGCTTTCAGATGGTGAACTGTGTCTGAATAATTCAGTACCCTGCCTTCCCTTTTTCACCCCAAAGTGCTCATTTACTCTCTTCTGCATTCTGTTAAAGAGCTAAGTGTGTTTCTAATAGGAAAAGTATGAAGATAAAAATTAAAGGGGCTGAAGAGATGGCTCCAAGGTTAAGAGTTTGTTCTGCCGTTCTGGAGGACCTAAGATTTAAACCCACACACTGGTACATGCAAGTACTTATGATTAAGGATAATACTTTTAAAAAGATCACAATTAATTTATACTACTCTTTGGCATTTAAACATTTGTCATTGAAAATAATACCTCAATTTTTAATGAGAATCTTATCTACCCAGAAAGAAAAACAAGGTAAACTTGTAGATACAATTTATATCAAATTTAAAAAAAGAAAAAAAAAAAGAGAAAAGAGAAAAAAAATGCCAGGCACAGTGGCACACACCTTTAATCCCAGCACTCGGGAGGCAGAGGCAGGCAGATCTCTGTGAGTTCAAGGCCAGCCTGGTCTACAGAGTGAGTTCCAGAAGAGTCAGGACTGTTTCACAGAGATACCCTGTCTCAAAAAACCAAGAAACAAACAAACAAAACTAAAACACAATTTATATCAAATTAAGTCATTTTTTGTTTATTTGTTGTGCAATGATGCTAAGAGTTAGTTTTTTGTCTTTGGTTTTGTTTTTTTTTTGAGACGAGCTAGTCTAGAACTCATTATTTAGTTCAGGCTGTCCTTAAACACATGACTTCTCCAATCAGAATTTCTACATTATTTTTAATATAACCATTTCAGGTATTTCAAATGAAGAAAAATTAGGTGTTTAAAGGCTACTGACAATAACTAAGAATTAGCATTTTCTGAAAACTGTTCCATTAATTTCTTTTTTAAAAAATCCAAAGTCCACTTCCTAAGAGATATATAATACAAACAGTTAAGCTACAACAAACTATTAAGATAGAAATATTATCATTCTGGGGCTGGAGAGATGGCTCAGCAGTTAAGAGCACTGGCTGCTCTTCCAGAGGATCCAGGTTCAATTCCCAGCACCAGCATGGCAGCTCTCAACTGTCTGTAACTCCAGTTCCAGGAGATCTGGCACCCCCACACGAACATACATGCAGGCAAAACACCAATGCACATGAAATAAAAATAAATAAATCTTTAAAAAATATTTATTATATATATAACTAACTAGTTTTATTACTGCTACCTTAATGAAATCTATTAACATTATGTCACAAAGTAAGTACCTTAGAAAACCATTATTAAGAGTCTTGGACACTAAAAATACCCCCACCCCTAAAGTCAAAGCAAAACAAACAAACAAAAATTCAACCCCAAAACCTCGTGGATTAAAAAAATTAAAACTCAAAATTTCTATCAACTTTTTACTCCCCCAAACCTAGTTTTAAATATCATGGTTTGAACTTCCTAATTTTTTTCTGTCTCTAGCCCAGGCTGGCCCTCAACTCCTGACTGCCTGGTTTATATGGTGGAGCTCAAACCCAGGGCCTTCAATAAGCACTACCAAGTAAGAGACATCCCCTAAATACTATGGAAACAAGCAAAATAATTCACTGAGGTTTTCAAGAAATAGAGACACGACACAAATACTTTTAGGGAAATCTGTAAATATCAATTTTTAGTCTTCCCCACCATGGGTCAGAGAATTGAACTCGGGTCTCATGCATGCTAAACAAGCACTCTACCTCTGAGCCATAATCTGAGCCCTATAAATACAAATTTTAGAATCTCAAATTTACATTATGATCAGTTACTAATAAGACATTCTTATCTATTAAATTATAAATGTTGTATATCAAGAGTTAACCAAATGAGTAATAATTTTAAATTAAAAGTTTTATAAGCCTTTGATTTTTCTAATTTTAAACAAAGTTAGATCAAACTACAGCAGAAAGTTTTGAACGGTATTGAAACAAACTACTCTCTTTTTCTGTCTTGATACACAGTCTCACTATGTACTCTGGGCTAGCTTCAAACTCACAGCAGTTCTGCTTCCGTCTCCTAAGTGCCCCACACCCAGCATAAAATACTCTCTGAAACCACTGTTTTCTCCTTCCCATAATCACTGCCGAGTATTCACTTTAACAAGGCAAACAAACCTTTTCTATGACAGACCAAGGCTTCAACACTGGCATGAAGTTTCCGAAGTTGCTGGTCAAGATTCTCAAATTGTTGCTGCTTTTCTTCAAACCACTAAGAAAAAGATGAAAAATGGAGCTAATTTAGGACGAATGAACCACTGTAAATTAGGTTACCAATAGCAAGCTACCTTCCTTGTGTTAGAACAGCAAATTAGCCGTATATAACCATGGTGGTCAACTGATGTAGTTGAGAACTGAACTCAATAAGCAAATTAATATCCTATTTTCTGCTTGTACAGCTTTAAAATGCAATTGTTGGGCTCATTAATTCATTTCATTATTCAAGTCGAAAAATCAGCTCTTACTGCATCCGATTCATTCATCTTGATTGTCATTTTGTTGACAGCGTCGGCAGCCTTGTTCACCATCCTCAATAATCCTGCTCCACTCAGAGCCTGTGTATTAACTGCTCTCGGCAGCTGGAATTGAATGACAAATAAGGGCAAACAAACCGGTTAAAAGCCTAGAGATTTAACTGGGCACAAAAGGGATCCCCCTCCCAAAATAAAGAAAAGAGAGAGAAGAAAAGAGAAAAGAGGCTGTATTTTCTTCACCCTCATACATTTCAACAGTGAGATCTAATTTCTCAAATGCACTACTTGTACATTCTCAAAGGAAAACTTAAAAAATAGACTTTCCATTTGCTTTTCTTCTGCACGTTTCCATTTAGATAGAACAAACGCTGTTTGTCAAAATACATTAAGAAATTGCCAGGCTCTAAGGCTGGCCACCTGTCTGCAAGTACCAACAAGCTGCTGTGAGCAAAGATGCTCCTGAGAAAAGTCTCCCCATGCTGCGAAGACTATGCTTGTGAGTTTCTAGAAAATTCTGAGACTCAAGCAAAGTTTTTTAAAAATCTCAAGCAGTAACAATTAAGGCAGTGACAGTGAAGTTATTTATAATCTACTTGATTAAATCCAGTTTACATTTTTCAAAAAAGGAACTGATCAACCTCTATCACGAAAAGAAGGCATTTGATAATTTAATTAAGCAAAATCCAAAATCCCAAAACATGGTCTTCTGTGTTCACTGAACTAATTATTTACTGAATATCTAACTTTGTATTAATTATAACAAATACAAGTGAGACAACTTAAAGTAGAAATACCTCTGAGCTCTCCAAGAACTGCCTTAAGTCAGGATCCTGAAGCAAGGTTGGATGCTTTACTGTTCTTTGAAGATACCTATATTTAAGAGTTGAATTGATCCAATTTTAGTACATTTTTAAATTGTGTTTTAACAAAAGAATAGGTAAAAAAATCTTCAATCTATCTCTTATTAGTCTGCAATCACCATTTATCTAGAATTTTACACAAATTGATAGGGCATGGTGGTACACACACACCTTAGTCCCAGAATTTGGGAGGCAGAGGCAGGTGAATCTCTCTGAGTTTGGGGCCTGACTGGTCTACATAGCAAGTTCTAGACTAGGTCTACATATGAGACCTTATCTCAGGGAGAAGAACTTTACAGAAATAGAATAAAAAGATTTTGTTCATTTTTGAAAATTCAAAAATGTATTTATATACACGGCTGGTGCCCATGGAGGCCAGAGCTGGACTCAGAGGCAGTTGGGAGCCACCATGTGGGTATTGGGAACAAAGCCACATCCTCTGCAAGAGGAGCAAATACCCTTAACCTTTGAGCTATCTCTCTGCTGTGGGATATCTTTCTGTATGCTGTGAATATATGCTGTTCTCATTGGTTAGTGAATAAAGCTGTTTTGGCCTATGGCAAGAAAGCTTACAGCCAGGCGGGAAATCCAAGCAGAGATACAGAGAGAAGGGCGGGGTGAGAGAGACACAAACCACCGCCCAAAGAGCAGCAAGATGCTAGGGACTGCTGGGCCGGGTGGGAGCAGAGAAACATCTGACTACAAAATGGAGAAAATTCCCACTACATCGATCTAGTCCCTTTGCTCATCTTTTGAAAGTGGGGACAGAATAAATAATTTATCCACTTCTCACCGTGACATTTTAGTTAGAAAAGGATGTATGAGCTTGTGTTAACAATTTTCCTTTGGGTAAAGTTAATGTTTCCAGTTATAATTTAGAGAATTAAGTTAACATATCACTATGTGTATTTTCTTCGCAACAAGTGTCATTAGTACTATCTCCAAATTAGGCAATTGCCTATCAATATTCTGTTTGTTGGTAGATTTAAACAATAATCAGCTTCTGGTCCTTGGTTCTGATCTGATGAAGACTAAATTTTCTTTAACATTTCCTTTTTTTCTTTCTATTGTTTGGAGGTAAGTTCTCATTAAGTAGACTGGTCTTCTATTTGTATCCTCCTGTGTTAGTTTCACATGGGCTGAAGTTACTGGTGTATACCACCATGCTTAGCAATTTCTCTGTTTTTTTAAGGTTTTATTTCATGGTTAACCCAATTTTCAGTCATTATCTTCCTAGAAAAGTCTGTATTTGACTGCCATCCATAATAAATTAGCAATCATGATTTCACAGAAATGAAAAAGGCTAAGTAGTTGATTTTCACTTATCTAATTCAATTTTGTTAAAAATGTTTCCCTCCATGCTGGAGGGATAGCTTAGCAGCTAAGAGCACTGGCTGCTCTTCCAGAGGACCTGGGTTCAATTCCTAGCACCTGCATGGCAGCTCACAACTATCTGTAACTCCAGTTCCAGGGGATCCAACACCCTCTTTTGGCCTCTGTGGGCACCAGGTACACACACAGTGTACTGACCTAAATATAAGCAAAACATCCATATATAGTAAAAAAAAAAAAGTTTCCCTAGATTAATGATCACATACAATAATGTTTCTATTTATTTCCGGATCCTCAGGGCTTGCTGGCCAGCCAGTCTCCCCAACTGGTGAACTGGAGAACTCCAGGTTCAGTGACAGACCTTGTGATTTAGGATGATATCTGATGTCTCAATCTCTAAACTCACATGCACAGGCAGATACAAACACATGCACACATACACACAAAACCTGCCTAAATTGGGGCTGAAGAGATACCTCAGCAATTAAAAGCACCAGCTGCTTTTCCAGAGGAGCTGGTTTAATTCCCAGCACATACATACACTGCAGCTCACAACCACCTGAAATTCTAGCTCCAGAGGACCCAATACACTCTTCTGGCATTAGCTGGTACTACACACATATGATACACAGACATACATACAGGTAAAACACCCATATTACATGACAAGTAAAATGAAAATAAATTAATTTAAAACATAAGAAGACTTGAGTTAAAATTCTAAATGTTGATATTTTTAAATAATAAGAGTCAGGTTCACAATTTTAACAGTGAAATTCTCCTAACACTATTGGTAAGTTATTCAATTTAGACTTCACACTACATGAAGCAGTCTGTATAGATTGTTAATCTCAGTGCTGGAAAACAGTAGGTGCTCACATACAACAACAAGACATGTAGCACTCAATCTCTAAAAAACATTCCAGCCAAGTGTGGCAACATGTGTAATCCTCAACATTTTGGAAGTGGCCAAATGGCCAACCTGGGCTACGTAGTAAGACCCTGTCTCAAAAAGTGACAAACATTCTATATTTTGAGCCTAAATAAAAATTCCTACCACTACTTATACTCTCAAACAACTTTCCAAAGCACACTTTATAGGTTACAAGCTTCAAAGAGTAATAAAAAGACTAATCTATAATTAAGAAAGTTTGGGATATATTATATACATACTTTCTTCTTTAAAAAAGTCATTTGTGGCTGGGCGGTGTAGGTGCATGTGTTTAATCCTAGCACTCGGGAGGCAGAGGCAAGCGGATCTCTGTGAATTTGAGGTCAGCCTGGTCTACAGATCCAGGACAGGCACCAAAACTACACAGAAAAACCCTGTCTCGGAAAAAAAAAAAAAAGTGGGGAAAAAAAAAGTCATTTGTGGGGCAGGGGGCACCTGTGAAAGGTCAGAGGACAAGGACAACTTGCAGGAGTGTTTTTGCCTTCTGAAGATCAACCTCAGGTTGTCAGGTTTGGAGGCCATTACCTTTACCTGCTGAACCATCTCACCAGCCCACATATTCCTTTAAGAATCACTGAGTAGTATTAAACTGATACTGCAATGTAATATACACGTCTTATAAGATTTAACTGTTTTGTTTTGTTTTTTGGGATGGGGTCTCACTATGTAGCCTTGGCTAGTCTAAAATTATAGACTAGGCTACCCTTGAACTCATAGAGGCCTGCCCATCTCAACTTCCCGAGTGCTGGGATTAAACACACTTGGCAAGATTCAACTTTTTAACTTTGGTAAATTCTGTTACCAAAATTCAGTTGACAATGGATCTCGGTTTTACCATGGCACATAAAAGCTTTCTGAAAAATCAATTTCAGAAAGTAATATTAGAGAAAAAGACATAAAACTTTTTTCTTAAGGGCTCTAGGGAAGTAAATAAGGAAATAAAAGATACTGTGGCTTTTGTAATGTTAAAATGAAGAAAGAACAGGTTTTAAACAACAAACATTTATAAAGACATGCAAACTCAGGGAGGGCAAAGTGAGGCCCAAGTTCAAGGGAAAAGAAAGAACTGAAACATACAAACAGAAAAAGCATGATATAAAAACTAACGTGAAGAAAAGAAAAACAGGAAGCCTCACTAAAGGAAGTGAGTGTAAAGACAACTGAAGTTGATGCCAGCATCGCACTCCTAAGGTGACCAGTGGCAACCCAGATCTGCCTTACGCAGAATGAACTGAACAGAATCATTTGGGCTATCCGGCTTCTGCTTGCATATGAAGACAATGTATGTCTGTGCATCATATGTGTTCAGTACCAGCTAATGCCAGAAGAGAGCCTGGGTCCTCTGGAGCTGGAATTTCAGGTAGTTGTGAGCTGCAGTGTATGTGCTGGGAATTGACCCTACCTCCAAAAACCAAACAAACCAAAAAGGTTTGTTGTACTGTGAAGCTGACTGCTGATGGTCTCACTTCTGTTTTCACATTTCAGCACAGGAAGAAAGGACTAGATGTTAAGAAGCTGGGAGTGGGACTATTCTAGTCTGTCACTGAAAAGGTAAGTTTTAGGCTAGTATGGCAATGCATTTGATCCTAGTACTACAGGAGGCAGAGGCAGGCTGACCTCTACTCTACGCTCAAGGTCAACCTGGACTACACAGTGAGACCTTGTCTCAAAAAGGAAAGAAGAGCAGCAAGTCTTTAAATCTATAAAACATGTATAATTATATACTCTAAAGGAAGATATAACATATCTGTAATTAGTCTTTATATAATGAATAAGCAAGGAGTAAAATTACTATCCATTAAAGTCAAAATCAAGTACACAAAAATGACAAGGCACACACATGCAGTCTTCACTGTTTAACAGTGCTTATACCAAACAAATATTCAAACAAAAAAATTAACTGAGGGCTGGAGGGATGGCTCAGTAATTATAAACAGCTGGTCTTGGGGAAGATCCAGGTCTGATTCCCAGCACCCACCCAGTGGTTCACAACCATCTGTAACTCCAGTTCCAGGAGATCCAAGCCAGTCTTCTGAACTCCACTGGCACCAAGCTTGCATATGTGGTGCATATACTTTCCATCAGGCAACACACTCATATACATTAAAATAATTCTAAGTTAAGAAATCAATTTAGACAAACTATAACTAAATTATTAGGTAAGATAATAAGTAAATATGGCATAATTAAAATAGTAGATAAATACGGTATAACTTTCTGAGAATCTAAATAATTTATATCTGCTGTATTTGGGAAGGGGCTGTGCTGAGAGCGTGGTCCAAGGCCCTAGAAATGTTCTATAAGCATTTCTCCATTGAGGACCAGTCTTCTCCCTGTTTCTGTTTGTCTTTTGAGACTGGGTCTTTCTATGTAGCCCAGGACATGCCTGGCTAAAGGTCCTCCTGCCAGTTTATTGAACACTGGGACTGCAGGAGTGTACACCACACATGGCTTCTCCAGACACTTATCAAGTGTTCCGGCAAGCACAACAATTTCCATGTTTCCCTCTTACAACTACAGCACTGTTCAGTGCTCTTGGTGATTATGATGTAATCCTAACATCAATTTCCTGCTTATGACATGGTATAGACGCAGGTGTCATGCTGCTAGTCTACAAAGCTGAGGACTAATGAAAGCATGGTAATGGTGGTGCTATAACTGGGAATTACCTCTCCAGTGCTGCTCTTCGTTTTTCTACAAACTCAGTGGACGATGAGTCTTCTTTACCTACTTTGACCTTGGTCATACCTTTGAAGAAGTTGGATGAAATTTGTAAGAATTTTAGATTATGAAACAGGTCATGATAATATCTTCATAATCAAAATACACTCTTAACTTTATAGTAATGTCCCTATGTTGGTAATTGGGATTTTACTTAAAGAGAAACCCATTTTGAAGAATTACATCTCATGATGTGTTAATATCTCTAACGAATAAATATCTATGGCAGGAACATGTATATAAAGTATAACTTGAGTTGTATTTGTGGGTTTTGAACTCATACAGTAAGTTTATATAAAAGTTTACATAAAAATAACATTATTTGTGGTATTTCACATTTTAAAAACACAATGTTTTGATATTTCAAGACTATTTTCTCCCTAGACCTGACCTAAACCCCCAGACTAATTTTCTCCCTACATTTCTTTTTAGAACGATGTCAGTATTTACTTCTGTGCATGTGTGTATTTCATTACGTATACATGCAGACAGGTGCTGCAGAGACCAGGTGAGGACATTATTATAAATTATAAAATGATTTTAGGCCAAACATTTAATAAAAATAATGGTCAGCAAAATTCATTTTCAATATATTTCAGAGTAATAATTTTGAGTGTAAAGAAAATTAAAATTAAAATTAAAAATTTAATGACTTAAGGACTTAAACAGACTGGTAATAACCTACAAATTTTAAGATATAAGTCTTAACAGTAGAATAATGGGTGCTAGTAAGATGGCTCAGTGTATGAAGATGCTTGCTGACAAACCTGACTAACCGAGTTCAATCCCAGGGACCCACATGAAAGGAGAGCACCAACTCCCTGCATTGTCCTGACCTCCAAATGCATGTGGTGGGAAGAGTGACATCCCCCAACACACACAGGAAGTGAAGTAGCAAAAATTTTATAAGAAAGATAATGAAGGTTTTCTGCTTCTTTTGAAATGTTCTGAATTTGATAACTAAGCCCTTACTGCTGATCACAGTAGAAATGTTTTTGTTTTATTTCAGGCAGGATCTCACTAAGCTTGGCTGAGAACTCAATAATCTAAGACGAATTCAAACAGCTCTTATATGAGCAAAGCTAAATTGAACTTCTCTTTGGACAATATATAGCTGAGCACCAAATAGCACCGAGCTCTTAGAGAAAACATTAACATTTTAATAACATTAAGTATCACCAGAAAAGGACTCAGTAAATTGGTATTCTAATGACCTTAGAAAGTTAGTTTCTAACCTTCAATTTGATCAATTTCAACCCAATATTCAACAACCAGATATTTGTATGTTAGAAATACTAAAACTATGAGCTACACATTCTTCAAGGATACATAAGATCATCACAGCACATATAAACCTGCACCTCTAGACAGGAGCCCTGATTGGGGATGATTAAGGGACACATAAACCAGAACAGCTAAAATTGAATCAGGAACAGTAAAAAGTAATATTCTGACATATGCTTACCTACTATACTCTTTTCTGGAGCTGGTGGCACAATGTAACCAACATGTAAATATTTGCTTGCTAATTTGCTATGCAAACCAAGAAAGTCACTGAATCTTCTTTTGACTGAAAACTCACTCTTACTGAACATGGAAAGAGAAGTCTACAAATGAAGAAGAGGTATTTCACATTGTTAATAGAAAGCTATCATTTACAAATTAATGCTGCAAGTACAGTCTGCTCTATTTTGCAAATAAATGCCGAGTACTTAGTGTGGCTTATACATAAAGACAACAACAACAACTAAACTAAAATCTAGGGCCTAAGACAGTTTTTTTTTAAATTAATAAGAGGTTAGAAAACACTTGCTTTATTCTATGTTTAACCTATAATACCTTCTCTACCGTATTTTTGCTATTAATTTCGCCCTTTTTTGGTTTTGAATCGGGCAAGTCTTGATATACAGCACCTAGGTTAGCTTTGAACTCATGATGCACAGGCTACTGATTCTTCAATATTTACCCATGGCCCAGACCTCCCAAAAAGGAGCTCCACACAAATCTCACTGAGCTTAAACTCACTGAATTTTCCATTAGAGTAAGAGTCCCAGAAGGACAGCACTTTCCTTTCCTGTTTCCTTTAGTCCCAGGTGCTCACAACAGAGCCAACAAACAAAACTCACCCCACCTCCTCACTGTGCCCCTCCCCAGTTTGTCTTTCTCCAACTACAGAGTTCCTGTATCATGACTAAATAGCTTCCTTACCGCTCATATTCAAACATTATTGGTTCTCCTACCTACCTAATTAAAATCAACATTTATTTTGATTACTTTCAACACTGTTTCTTCAGTATCGAGTGCCAATGCCCTCCCTAGTTGTAATTGTTTGTTTGTCTCAAGTTGGCTTAGAACTCACTATGAACTTCTTTCTGCTCGCCCTGCCCCTACCTACCTCCTGAGTGTTGAAGTCACAGGTGTGCACCACTTCCCCTGTTTTTCCTGTATACTGGAGAGTGACTCCAGGGCTTCATGCATGTTAGGCGAGCACTCTAACCAATTGAGCTACATCCTCAGTATAAAGTTAAGATCATTACGACAGACCGCTCTCTGTTCCAAGACTTAATCCTTTAATAACTGCAGTGGCCTTTTAACTAGAAATCTTGACCTGTACTTGGATCCTCCCAATTCACCCTGAGTTAAGACAACTGTTCTAACAAAAATCTAATAGTGCCATGCTTTTGTCCGAACCTCTCTAACAGCTCTCCTGCATGCTAAGGATCAAATCAAAACTCCTAATTGTGGCTACTCGAAATACATGAGGAGAATTCAGTCACAAGTCACTTACAGACAAGACTCTAGAAAACACAATGCCTTGACTCTGGGCTCTTACACAGTAAATCTTTTTGCCTGAAAGAAGCACCCTGCTCCTCCTTCCCTCACCTGTGTTTCACCTTAGAACTGCTCTGGCCATACCTAACCTTCAAGTCTACGTTAGTTTACTTCCTGCACACTCTCGTTCTTATACTCACAAACTCTCTACTATCCAGAGTGAGGGGCCAACACTTCATTAAAAAAGCAAAAAGCGCCGGGCGGTGGTGGTGCACGCCTTTAATCCCAGCACTCGGGAGGCAGAGGCAGGCGGATCTCTGTGAGTTCAAGGCCAGCCTGGTCTACCAAGTGAGTTCCAGGAAAGGCGCAAAGTTACACAGAGAAACCCTGTCTTGAAAACCCAAAAAAAAAAAAAAAAAAAAGCAAAAAGCTCACCTTTGTTGTCACTCTATATGCCATGTAAGCATTCATGCCATCACCTATAAAGAAAAAAAGTCAAAGAATATTATTATAATTCAAATGCTTAGGCTAGAGGAGGTAAAAGGTAGACTGCCTAGTGTATGTAAGACCCTGGGTTTAATTCTTAGTACCACCAAAATAAATTAATTGAACTAAATGCTTTAAAATAAAATACACAAAAAAATTTAAAAGAAAAAAAAACACTACAAACATATATTTAAGTGGAAAACTATAGGATCTAACAATCAAGATAACAAAAAGAAGTACAAAAAATAATAATGACTCACCAACTTTTTCTGGATCTGACACACCAATTTCTATATCAAAAGTATCTCCATTTGCTTCTTCTTCAATCTATAAAAGTATATTTTGGTGTTAAAAAATTCCATTTCTCTTGAAGGTAACCGGCAGCTGTCTAAGTAGATTCATGGCCCTGTCAACAGGAGGGAATTGATGCCTAGTACTGCAGTTCTGGCCAGCTCTTTGTGTCTAAAGAGATCCTACTACTGTCGTTTCTCCAAACCAATATAATTTCTAATTGTATTCTAAATACTCCTCCTTATACCCACAAATAGGTGTAGCTCTCTCCCATCATCAAAGAAGCTTCTTTTTGCAAAAGATAGAGACTATTACAGAGATCCACAACTAGTCAACATATAGAGAATGAGAGACTGCCATGTGCCCAGCCCACTGACAGATCTACAGTGCAACCCTACATCTAAGGCTCAGGAAAATCATGGAAGGGGGCAGAAAGAATCTAAGAGCCCGAAGATCACTACTAGATATTGTTTTTAGGCATGACAGGAAAGCCACACCCATGAAATCTCAGCAATATGGTTGCCTCAACAAGATCTGCAGATAATACCAGTTCACATGCCAATGTGGGTGGGAGAAATTTCACAAGATCCCTACCCTTAGATGAAGAGCTATAGATAATCACTGGCTGCCCAGAGAGGGAGAATCTGTGTTCTCTAGGGATGAGCCCACTAATGGGAGATCCAATACCAAGTGGACAGTCATAAAACATAGTACTCATGTATGAAATTTTCAAAGCACACAAAATTTTAAAATTCCAACTTATATTACTGTTACAGCATCAATGACTAGTTTTTACTATTTCTGTCTACTAGGGTCATATCACAATAATTTAAAAATACATATGCTGACTGTAAACAAAACACTCAAATAATAAAGATCATATGGAGAACAGAAAATGTTGTCTTAACTCCTCAGATGTATGTATAGAAAAAAATAACAGAAAACTCTTTAAAAAAAAGGGGGGGGGGTGGATGTGATTTTCTAACTATTGTGACTTTTTTCCTGTTGCTGTTGTTTAATATGGACTTTCTTGTTTCTTTGCCTCTACATCCTGTGTGCTAGAATTAGAGTGTGCTCCACCATACTCAGCTAATGAATGCAATCTTTAGATTTAGAGTAATAAATGCTTAGTGCCTTACTTTTATTTAGCTTCCCTACCCCACAGATTTGACTAGTCTACCTAGTTAACTTAGTCTAGGGTTCCAGTTTCTGGCTCTCTAGCATTGGGATTTATGTTAGTTAAGGTATCTGAACCGCATGCACACATTATCCACTAAGTCATTATCCTAGCCCCAGCCTTGCCCTGTAATTTCCAACCCTGAATAACTAAAAAGAACTCATTATTTGAACCAGTAGGAACTTACATATTTGTAGAAATTATATCTAGCCGGGCGGTGGTGACGCACGCCTTTAATCCCAGCACTCGGGAGGCAGAGGCAGGTGGATCTCTGTGAGTTTGAGGCCAGCCTGGGCTACCAAGTGAGTTCCAGGAAAGGCGCAAAGCTACACAGAAAAACCCTGTCTTGAAAAACCAAAAAAAAAAAAAGAAATTATATCTAAAACCAACTTTAACAGAATGATTCTGCTAATTAATCTAATAAAAAACACATTTTTTTTCCTTGAAGACAATAAAGGCCCTGTAAAACTCAATTTTCAAAATCAACAAGTAGGAAAAATAACTTGATGGGACTACAGAAAGGCCCTTTTGAAGGCAATTTAAAAACAAGCATTTTGGAGATGGAGAGGTGGCTCAGCTTTTCCAGAGGACCCAGGTTCAATTCCTAGCACCCACTTGATGGCTCACAACTGTCTTTAATGCCAGTTGGGGGAGGGCGACACCCTCACACATACATGCAGGCAACATATTAATACACATGAAACAACAATAAATATTTTAAATTACAAACAAACAAAAAACCAAGAATTTCAGGCAGGCTGTGGTGGCCCATGCCTTTGATCCCAGGTCTCAGGAGGCAGAGGCAGGTGAATTTTTCAGTTCAAGGCCAGCCTGGTTTGTATAGTGAGTTCCAGGAGAGCCAGGGCCACACAGAGAAACCCTGTCTTGAAAAACAAAACAAAGAAACAACAAAACAAAGAAACAAACCCAAGCATTTCAAATATTTTGCTACAGGAAGAGTTTGCAGAAAGGTCAGTGGGAACTTAACTCAGAGGTAGTGTGCCTGCTTAGCATAAACAAGGCCTGGATTCTATTCACAGCACTGAACAAAAGCAAAAAACAAAGGACAAGAAATCTCAGAGTATTAAATCTCCAAAATGTCAAGGCAATATTAGTAATATAAAGCTGTAACAAAAGCATATTCTCCTAACCATCTTTCTTTTCAAAGTCACATTTTTATAGAGACATTAAGCTAATCTTCTCTACATGGACACTGTGATTTAGAAAAATGTATTAACAGTTAAGTGAACTCCCCTTTGTAAGCAGCACCCAAATGAGAAATGCAAGCAACAAGTCCACCTCTTCCAGCTTGCCTTCCAGTGATGCCTCTTCACCCTTCCAACGCAGCCGTTACCCTATATCTAACGCTGCACATACTGTTCACTAATTTTTTCTGTTTTTAATATTCATATCATGGAATCATACAGTGTGAGTATTCAGTTATTATATCTTACTACTTTCCCTTTGTATTATTTTGAGGAGGTTATATATTTGTATATTCATTCTTTAATTACATTGGTTATAAATTTCCAGTTGAATAATTTTTAAATGTTTTATATTTAAAATAATCTCCATACCATGATTTTTTCTTCTTCTCCAAATGTATCATTTCTTTTTTGTTTTGTTTTACTTTGGTTTTTGTTTTTTTTGTGTGTGTGTCATTTCTTAATAATTCTATCCTTTATAATAAAGTAAAAGGATTATCAGATCATGAGAAAGCAACTTTAACTGATCTGTGCCTCTTTAAAAAAAAAAAACAAAAACAGAAAACTAAAAGCTTGAGGCAGTTCAAAAAGAAATAAAGATAAAGGCTTGGGCTGGGCATACAGCTCAGAGGTAAACCAGTTTCCTTTCATGCAAGAGCCCCTGGGTCCAATCCTCAGTGCTATAAAAATAAATAGGGGCTAGATAGCAATCGTAAGTATCAATAGCATTCACTATCCAAATAGTATTTACTCTGTCAAAGAAAACCACTCACAGCACCACTTAAGTACTTTCACCCATCACCTGTTCAACAAAGGAACCCTCAGAGGCATTTTATTATCCTAAGACCACAAATGTCAAATACCTCAATTTAATCATTAAACAGTCTTCTTTTTTGGTAGCTCTGGGGACAGAATCTAGGATCCTGAGCATATGAAGTAATCACTCTACCACTGAGCTACACTCCAGCTTCAAACTCTTTGATTTAAGAAGGTTAAGTGGTAGGGTTTGGTGGGGTGGAAGATTTAGAGAAGCTAGACCGGGAGCATTGTAGAGTTTTAAGCCAGTTGGGATACTATAAGTCCCAGGCCAGCATGGGCTACGACTCAAAAAGACCCTATCTCAAAATGAAATCAAACCAGAACAAAAAGAATGTACATAATATGCTAGGTCAATTTCTTAAGATATCTGTGTGTGTGTGCGTGTGCACACGCGCCACATCTGTTTTAACACCAGGTCTTACATTATGTAACCCTAGCTGGGTTAGAACTCAATTGTAGAACCAGGCTGTCTTCTAACAAACAGAGAGCTACCTGTCTCTGCCTCTCAAGTACTGGGATTATAGACATGTGGCACCACACCTTTTTTCTTAGTAGAGTTTTTCCATCCAAAATGTCTGAAAGGCTTTGATTAGGAATAATTGAACAGGAGAGAAGTGCTGGGTAAGGAACAAAGATATGTATTCTTTCCACATTAACCTTTCCACATTAAAAACATCTCCATACCTCTTCCCTGGATCTATCAAAGATCACTGGAGCAGAAAGACTCTTTGATTCGATTCTAGGAGCAATGAGTGCAGTGGGCGTGACAGGAGTGACTGCAGGCGAAGGGTCGGAGGAGAGGATAGGCTCCCTTTCTGGACTGTCCAAAGAAACTTCTTCTGTGGCTTCTAGACATAAATGAAACAAGTTAATCAAGGAAAGTACAGCATATATATATAGCAGTTCATGAAATATGAAAAACATACCTACAAATAAGTCTCAAAAGTACCATGACTTATAAGTTATCACTACAAGGGACTTTATGCAACTAATTATTTAGTTGTTTATGAAAATTTTACGACAAACAGGAACTGCATTGATTTTTATGAAGAACTGTATTAAGTCTGCTTAATTATCTATACTAGGAGAAAAGCAATGATGTGCATAATTCCACATTCATTTGTGTTTGGATTGGTAATACATCTTACATGTGGTAACTTACCTTTCAAATATTTTATTCAGGCTAATATGATTATTTCACACATATAAAAACAAATTTTATGGAAGAAAACTACCTTTAACTATCCCAATTGGGATTGAAAATCTGTTATGGAAAACCCACCAAGTTAGTAATCTAAAGCAATTAATTGCCAAAGATTACTGGATATTAGTTGAATATACAAATATGACACAAAGCAAAGAGATGTTTAAGTTTTAATTTTAAATGCTCATTCACTTGAAATATCTAAAATTAAATATATTTAAAATCAAACCACATTAATAAACTGAAGTCTACAGACTATATAATACTGTGCTAAATGCAATGAAGAAACACAAAGAAATGGAAAAAAAATCATACCTGCCCTCAGGGAGTTTATAATCTAGTTGAGAAAACAAGACATGTGGAATGTTAAAAAATAATAAAAGACTTAAGAGAACAATAAAGAATGTTATAAGACATTCAATTACTATATGAACGGTAGAACACACACTATAATTTGAGTAGACACAGGAGTCAATACTTCAGGGTGTGGAAAATCAGAAATAGTCTGTGACTCTGATTTGAGATGGTTTAAACAAGATATAGGAAGAAGGTGGAGAAAAATTCCATGCAAATAGAATAACAGCATAATTAGAAGCAAAAAAAAAAGGCCAGGACAGTGAAATTTAATCAGTGAGCCTAAGACAAAACAGCCCTGCTGGCTTGTAGAATTAATACCAAGAAGATGAAATTATAAGGCAAACAAGGGATCAGACCAATGGTTTTCAGCCTACGGTTTCTGGATTCCTGGGATTTGGGGGAAGCAGTAATTGTGGTCAGTGAGCCACTTTCAGCAGTCAACTTGAAATTACACAGCTTGACATGCTATCAAATTATTTGGACTGGCTATTTGATGTTGACAAGATAGCTGGTATGAATCTCTTCAAATTTATGTATTAAAATAAAAATGATTAATAACTAAAATCTTCCAAACTATGGTAACCAAAGGGGAAAATATAAACTACAGATACACAGACTGCATATGCCTCTGACAGAACAAACTAAAGCTTAGACCACTCAGGTTTTGTAGACATTTATCACCTTTTTTTTTTAAAAGAAATGAAAACAGGGCCAAAGAATGGTTCACTGGGTAAAGGTGCTTTCCACCAAGCTGACAATTTGAGTTTGATTCTTGGGACCCACATGGTAGGAAGAGAGCTAATTCTACAAGTTATCCTCTGACCTCCATGCATTATATATAAAATGAATGAATAAATAAATAAATCTTTAAAAAAAAAAAGAAACCGAGGTGTGAGAAGTTTGCAGAGCCCCATCAACGCCCATGAACCCCAAGGAAGCACTGCTACAGCAACACCACACGAGCAGCAACAAACCAACAACAGAAATGCACTGACATCAGTGTAAATTCAGCGGTTCTCAGCTTGTGGGCTGTGACCTCTCACGGGGGTCACATATCACCTATTTACATTATGAAGTAACAACAAAAGTAATGTTATGGCTGGGGGTCACCATCACAACATGAGGAACTGTACTAACAGGTTGCAGCATGGGAAGGTTGAGAAACCAGTTTAAAGCCATCTGAAGTTTTTCAGTGACATTTTACCACACTGATGCAAAGCTTTGGGGTGCTCGTACTAGTAGCTGCTTCAACAACAAAGGACAGGAAACTTTAAGTAAGGCTAAGCGGGATCTAAGCAACTAATATGGAAAGAGAAGAAATCAAATCGATAGGCATAGATTCAGCACATTGACGGTCTGCCTTTAAATTTTTGGTGTTTTGAAGACATGGTCTGGGCTGGCAGTGATGGCGCATGACTTGGGAGGCAGAGGCAAGGCAGAGCTATGTGAGTTCAAGGCCAGCCTGGTCTATAGAGCTAGTTCTAGGATAGTCAAGGCTAACAGTAAAACCAAATAAAAAAAAAGTCATGGTCTCATGAATCCTCCAACTCATGTTACTGAGGAGCATCTGCTCCTGTAGTTGCCACCCCACATGCTGGAACTGGAGGTGTGTATCACTATGTCCAAACTTGAAATGGGTGACATGACTTCTAGCTTAAGTAAGCAACTACAAATATAGAGGGCTCAGTTCCAAACAGAGGAGCTAAAGGTTAAGGAAGATAGAGAGCTATATAACTTGAGGGTGAATACACATTGATTTTGTCAATATTCAGGCATTCTTTTAAGATGTACCAAATGGAGAAGGGTTAGATAGTTGAACACACTTGGTGAATATCTTATAAGGAAGTAACAACATGTCACAGTTAATTTTTTTCAGTATGATGCTGATATGAACTACCCATAAACTATATAAGTTATCTAAAACACAACAGCACACACAGCAACACTAGCTGGTTTCTTTTTGGCTTATAAAGTCACAATGGCTACTTTGCGTTAGCCAGATCTGTATTCTGTGCACCGAAAATATGTTATTACTACTAGATACAAGTTCATTATCCTGATAGCATATGCTGTACTTACAGGTTCTTAGCATCATACTCTTCCATAAGGAAAGAGAGAGATCTGCTTAAATGCATTATAAATAAATATGAACCAAACATAGTATAATTAAAAAAAAAATGTCTTAGATCACCCAAAGATGTCATTATAAAACATAGTTAAGTTAAACTGTAAAACATAAAAATGATTTTATTTAAAATTTTGTTGTGTGAGTATGTATGCATGGTGTATGTATGGCAGTGCAGGAAGACATGCCACAGAGTACATGTAGAGGTCAGAGGACAGTTTTCAGAGTCAGTTCTCTCAACTTCCTGAGAGTTCATTGGATCAAACTCAAAAATAGTCAGTGTTATACAGAAAGAACTTCACCCATTGATTTCTTCTCACCAACCCCAAATTATTTAGTCTTTAAACCAATACTGACAATACGCTGTTGTTCTTTCTTTCTTTGACACAGTCTTGCTAAGTATTCTGATCTTGTTATTCACTATATAGCCTAGGATGGCCTCACACTCTCAACAACCTTTGTTACAGGCTATCAAAATGGAAATTATATGGACTTTTGCAATAAAGAATTGTACCTTCCAAGTACAAATGTGAATTTAACAAAAAGTTGTAGATTTTCAACTCTGTACACAAACTCCTTTGTTACAAATAAATATGTCAAGGGGCACAGAGCTTATGGACCACTACAAAAGTTGAGAACATTAATAACTTAAAGCCAATTATGTAAATTATGTTGCTATATAAAAAATATTTACTATTTTAATTTTGTGTCAATATTAAAATTTTAATTTTTGCTTTCCAATATTAAAATGCTAACTTAAATCTTAATTTTAAGGCCTAACTATTTAGAAGAGTCAAGCATTTTTTTAAGTTAGAATGGACTACACCAAATTCTATCCTTACATCCAAAACAAACTCAACCATCAACTTACCTAATAACAAACCTATAACACACAGTGATTCTTTTTTATTTTTTATGTGTATGGATGTTTTGCTTGCAGGTATATCTATGAACTATATGTGTGCCTGGTGCCACCAGAGGCCAGAAGAAGTTATCAAATCCCCTATTAACAGACGGCTGTAAGCCACCATGTGGGTGCTAGGAATCAAACCTGGGTCCCTCTGGAAGAGCTGTTGAGGCATTTCTCTAGCCCCCATATAGTGATTCTTAAATCCATACTTTGATTTTGCTTTGTGACAACTTGTAAGAAATAATAACAACAAAAACAATAGAGTCATTGCTACCTCCCAAGGGTATGGTCAATACCATGTACCTATTTTCAAATGCTTAAAAATAAAGGGCAGTTTTGCTTCTCTTACTGGTCTGTGTGTATTTCTTACAGAGCAACCTAACTAGATAGGCCCTAGCCTGCTAAGTTTATGTTTTGTTTTGTTTTGGGTTGGTTATAGGTCTCACCCTATAAGCCAGGCTGACCTTGAACTCATAGCAATCCTCATGCCTCAGTGTCCCAAACGCTAAGATTACAGGCATTAACCATGCTCAGATTCACTTTTTAGGGTGTTGCAAGAAGAGTTCCCATTAAGACACAGAATTTCAGTTGCCTTACAGAGTATTCTAAAAGCATATACTATTATAATTGGTTATTACTAAAAAAAGAAAAAAAATCAAGATATGACAATTACCTGCAAAAAGATCTTCTCTGTCATCGTCTAGAATGACTTCTACAGGTTTGGAGCCATTGGAATTTGCACTAATATCTTCTGCAGGAAGACTGGCTGGTTCAGGAGAGGATGGACTTGACTGTTAAAGAACAATAGTGGACAATGGATTGGAATACTTCCTTGCTTTTTATCGTACCTCATAAAGAAATACAGCATTCTCTTGATTAGAGAGGAAAACAATGCAGACAGTGATGGCTCACACCTTTGATCCCAGCACTTGGGAGGCAGGCAGAGGCAGGCGGATCTCTGTGAGTTAGAGGCCAGCCAAAGCTACACAGAGGCCTGGTCTACAGAGTGAGTTCCAGGACAGCCAAAGCTACATAGAGAAACCTTATCTCGAAAAACCAAAAAAGAGAGAGAGAACCTTGTCTCATAAACCAAAAAAGAGAGCAAGGGCGAGAGAGAGAGAGAGGAGTGAGAGAGAGAGAGAGAGAGAGAGAGAGAGAGAGAGAGAGAGAGAGAGAGAGAGAGAGGAAGAACAGCTACTTATATTTTCTTCTCTAAGGTTCAAAATACACTATAAGCAACGCCTTTGCTCAACAGTCTCTTAATATCATCCCTTTAAAAGCACGTATTTATCATCCTTAGTTATAATTAACAAAACCATACTATCCACAATACAACAAAATTTGGAACAAGTCCCTTGATTTTTAGAGTCAGGGTTGGAGAGACGGCTCTTCCAGAGGACCTGGGTTCAATTCCTAGCACTCACATGGCAGGTCACAATTTTTGGTAACTCCAAGATCTGACACCCTCACACAGACATACATGCAGGTAAAATACCAATGCACATAAAATAAAGTAAATAAATTATTTGAAAAACAAAAAAGAGAAGCAGTTTTAAATAATATCAGCCTGTGTGTGTTTATTTGGGTCTGAATGGCTGCAGGACTGGCGCGTAAGAGAGATTTGTCTTGACCATGGGCCAGGCAGGACTGGAGAAAACTCCAGCTACAAGAGTCAGTGTTTTTTTTTTTTTTTAAGATCATGGTTATTTTTCTACTGGGGGTAGATATTTCAAAGTCCTGCTTTAGAATAAGAAAATAAAGGGCACACATGGTAGTTTACACCTGCAATCCCAGAATTTGGGAGATGGGGCAAGAGGATTAGGAGTTCAAGGTCATCCCCAACTACATTGAAAGTTCTAGACTAGCCGAAGACCATGCCTCGAAGAAACCAAAACAAAAATACACAAATAAAATAAACTAGAGCCTGTGAGATGAGTCAGTGACAAAGGCTCTTACTACCAAACATGATGACCTGAGTTCAGTCTCTTAGAGAACTGATTCTCAAAGTCACCTCCAACCTCCACAAGTGTACTGAGGTACACACAGATTTAATGCTAGGTGAATTACGAACACAGCCATTTCTAAGATTCTATATTTTCAAACTGAAGCTATGCTATCTCTCAAGATACTTTTTCTTTTCTGGTGACAAGGGGTTTTATATGTAGCACAGCCCAGGATGAACTTGCACTCTCATGCCTCAGCCACCCATGTAGTTGTGTGTAGGTGTGCACTATATCCATCTGGAAAATTTAATTACTCTTCTTTTTTTTTTTTTTTGGTTTTTTTCGAGACAGGGTTTCTCTGTGTAGCTTTGCGCCTTTCCTGGAACTTGATTTGGAGACCAGGCTGTCCTTGAACTCACAGAGATCTGCCTGCCTCTGCCTCCTGAGTGCTGGGATTAAAGGCGTGCGCCACTACTGCCTGGAGCTCTTCTCTTTTTTAATAAGACCTGGCTATGTAACCCAGGCAGATCTAGAAACCGGAAGCCCTCTTGCCTCCTCCCCCTCCCAAAGTCTGGGATTATTGGGACTCTATCATACCTAGCAGTTTTTCCTACTTAATGTTATGCCTATATGAAACTCTTCTGTACTGGTCTGTGTAGTAAATCACTCATTGTAATATGCTTTCCCACTTCAATTAGTCTAACCTAGATGAACCGAAAAAGACATGCCCAGAGATACGGTTCCATGGTGGTTCTAAGTCCCATGGAGGGACAAGACTGACACATGTTTCAAGCATTTTGTAAAAATAAACATTAACAGTTTTTTTGTTTTGTCTTGTTTTTTCAAGACAGGGTTTCTCTGTGTAGCCCCAGCTGTCCTGGAACTCTGAGACCTGCCGGCCTTTGCTCCAGAGGGCTGGGATTAAAGGTGTGCACCCCTATCACCCAGCTTGTAGAGGGTCTTTATATATTTTTAGATAAAAGGGTTTGTTTGGGAGAGGGAGTCAGATTTAAATTACAGATATTTCAAGCAGTCTATGGCTTACCTTTCTACATTAATAGATCTACAACAGAATTTCTTAATTTCATAGGGCAAAAAAAATTTTCCTTCTTTAGTGGTTAGTAAACTTTTTGTAGGATGAATGCTTCTTTTGTTTTTGTGGCGGTAGAGGTTGAACCTAGAGCCCTGTACACATGCCTGGCAAATACTCTACTACTGAACCACACCCACATTCCTCTAATCTTCATTTTGATCTTCTGGGCATGGTGGTACATGTAATCTTAGTGTTTTGTGGGGGCAGAGGGAGGGAGGTTAGTAGATCAAGCCATGTCTGACTACAAAGCAAGTCTGGGGGCCAGCCTGAGCTACATGAGATCACATCTTGGAACAGAATGAAGGAAGATGGAGAACTGGCTGAGTGATTAAGAGTTTTTGCAGAGGATTCACATCCAGTCCCCAGTTCCACATGGGGCAGCTTACAACAGCCTACAAACTCAGTCTTCAGGGGTCCAACACCTACTTGTGGCCTCTGTGGGCACCCACATGCACATCTGCACACAAACACAACATTTTTTTTTTAAACTAAATAAAGGAAAAGCAAAGAGGTCATGTGTGGTGGGGCACTCATACCATCCAAACAATGGGAAAACGAGGGAGGAGGATTACTAGTTTCGGGGCAGCCCAGACTACATTGTAAGAGAGAAAAAAAAAAAAAAACGGTTAAAGAAAACCAAAGTCAGCCAGGTGGTCATGGCACACACCTTTAATCCCAGTCCTCGGGAGGCAGAGGCAGGCGGATCTCTGTGAGTTTGAGGCCAGTCTGGTGTACAGAGTGAGTCCCAGGATAGGATGCAAAGCTACACAGACAAACTCTGTCTCAAAAAAAAAAAGAAAAGAAAAGAAAAAAAAGGAAAAGGATAGAAAAGAAAAGAGACCAAAGCCTTAATCTTTGTGACCCTGCATTCACATATACTGAGTATGACACTGAAAAACATCACCATGAAAGTGGAAGCCAGGCACAGTGACAAACTTCTGAGACTGTAGCACTGAGGAGAAACTGAAGCCAGAGGATCACAAGCTTACAGCCACTCTGAGCTACAAGGCAAGACCCTATTTTCATTTATTTACACTCTCATAGTTGTAGACAATGAACTATGATAACATCTCTTGCCCCCGAAATACTGAGTAGGAAAAACAAACATTTAAACACACACACACACACACACACACACACACACACACACACACACACACACAACACACACACACACACACACACACACACACACACACACACACACACACATCCAAACTCCAGAACAGGGAAATCTATAGAGATAGATTAGTTGCTATATTAAGGTTAGAGACTGGGAAAATGGCAGAACAACATCTGAAGGGTACATGATATGTTTCTAAAATAGTGAAAATATTCTAAAACTAACTGTGTAACAGATACATATATCTCACTATACTAAAAACCACAGGAATGCACACCCTAACAGGTGAACAATTTGGCCCATAAGCTGTACCTTAACAATGCTGTTCAGAGAAAGAGGTATAGTGAAGCATGGTGGTTCATGCTTGCAGCGCCGGAACTTGGGAGGGTACAGTTGGAGAACTGCTGAAAGCTAAAAACCTATGGCCAGCCTGGGCTATGTAAGTGAGACCCTTCTCAAAAAACAAACAAACGAACAAACAAACCCCAAAAGACTAGCAAGATGGTTCAGTGAGTAGGATGCTTGCTGTCAATCCTGATGAAAAACCTGAGTTTGATTCCTAGAAACCACATGATAGAGACAATAACTCCTATAAGCTACATACCACACACACAAATTGTAAACAAAAACAAAAAACAGGACTTCCAGGTGAGATAAGAGGATCAGAAGGTCCATTTGTGTGATGGTAAAACACATACAATAATGTCTACTCCTTCAAGATAAAATTGCTATAAAATAATTTATTAAGCCAGCTGCAATCTTTGTAAGAGAAGCAGGTAGAAATGACTGTGACCAGTGTCCAGCTGACCCAGATGGCTCTCAAAGTCTGTGGCAAACACACACACAAACACAATTTTTTAAAACTTAAAAGTCAAGGCTGTAGAGAGATGACTTGATGGTTAACAGCACTTGCTGCTCTCGCAGAGAACCCGGGTTCAGTTTCCAGCATTCCCATCATCAGGTAGCTCAAAACCACCTGTAACTCCACTTCCAAGAGATCCAACGATCTCTTCCAGCCTCTGTGGACACCAAGCTTGGATGTGGTGCAAAGACATACATGCAGGCAAAACACCCATACACATAAAAATAAATAAATTAAAAAAAAACTCCATATGAATGAAACAATAGAGTGAAAGGATGGGAAAAACATATTCCAAGGAAAGAACAACAGGCAGTAAATATGTCACTCTGCTAACATCTGACAAAACAGACTTCAAGCCAAAAGATAAAGTCACTTCATACTGATGAGGGAGCAATCCACCAAGAAGACTACAACTTAAACAAATGCTACTAGATATAAGATCAAATTAACCTCAACACAATAATGGTGACTTTGATACCCTACTCTCACCAATAAGACAGATTATCCCACCAATACAAACAAACAAAATACTGAAGGGGAGAGCCAATTCCACAAGGTTGTTCACTTACCCCTCTCTAACCATGTATTCTAACATGTGCAACTGCATACACCCTCACACACACACACACACACACACACACACACACACACACAATTTAAAAAATAAAAATAAAGCCTAGGGGGTGGTGGTGCATGCCTTTAGTCCCAGAACTCAGGAGGCAGAGGCAGACAGATCTCTGTGAGTTCAAGGCCAGCCTAGTCTGGCCTAC